CAGCTCCACCTAAATTCATAAACTCCATAACCATTGTAGTGGTCATGGGGCCTGGTACTCTGGCCCGCACCCACCGTCGTTAAACTGTTCACTAACAGTTTGACTTCTAAACTGGGGTTTAACAGGTCGCTGATCCCTGCTTCTTTGCAACAGTAATCAGGGCCCAGAAGTTCTTGCCAGGAGCTCCTGAGCTAAGCACTCCCGTGCAGGGCCATCTTGTTGGCTGGTACAGGGTTTTTCCATCTTTAATGGAATGTCTTTAGACACAGAGACAGTATATATGCATTTTAATCCATATAATATTTCATTACAGGAAAGTGTACAATATTAAGGTTTTTCACCCAGTTGTTATTATAATCCAAATGAATGTGTACTTGTTTAACAAATACACTTCATTAGCATTTCAGACTAATGTTACTGGGTTGGGTTTTTTTATGATCAGTTACATCAAACAGATAAATAATGTTTCATTTATTCTAAACAGTGCTGCAAATATTGACCTGTTTTGAGATTTTTTTAAATTAGTTTTTTGATGAAAAAAGGAAAACTACAAAATTAGAAGCAGATACATAAAGTACATAACATAGTAATAAAAAAATTTAAAAAAACAGAAAAAAGGAAAAGGAAAAAGAGGAAAAGGAGAAAACGATGTAAAATTCTGAAGAAGGAAGCAAGAAGCAGTATACCTACGCATAAAAAAGATCCTCAGGGGTCATCTGAAGGCTGGTTTGTGAGTCTATAGGAAGGAGTCAATATAAGGCAAGAATAGCAAACAATGTTATTCAAATTAAGAAGGGTGTGATTGAGCAATAGGTATTTTACATGCCACGTGCTGTTTAGTCTAGGACCATAGTGCCTTGAAAGTGTACCATTACTGACTTCAACTGGAGGTCTGATAACCTGACATACCTGGGGATAAAAATCACCAAACACCCTCAAGACCTTCTCCAGTACAATTACACTAAAACAGCAAATGTCATTAAAACGCAACTAGAAAAATGGAAGGGTAAATTCTTGTCCTGGATGGGTCGCATAGCAGCATTTAAAATGATGCTGCTCCAGAAACTCTAGATCCTCTTCAGGTCCCTGCCCATAGATGTCCCCACGACCTTTTTCACCAACTTACAACGCCATGTTGACTGCTTCATTAATGGTCACCGTAAAGCCCGAGCCCCCAAAACCACAACATATAGGAAACTTCAAGATGGGGGAACGGGGAGCCCAGACATTTACACATACTACAGAGCCACTATACTCACACACGCCATAAGCACGCATGACGGGAACCACAATCCGCCCTAGGTGGCAATAGAGTCCTAACCTGAGGGAATTCACCATCTCTTCTGGTTACCTGAACCCCTCCACCCAAAATTGAGTAATCTACTGCCCATGTCAGTAGTTATGTTAAAAGTGTTGGTTACTTAATGTCATGTGTCCTTAAGGGGTTAAAAGTGAAAAAATTTCTCATTGGACCCCCCTCTCCCTTGCCACACCGATTAGATGCTTCAGATACCTCGCCCCTACTTTCAACAGCAGAGGCTGGGAAGGCTGCGGCCTCACTCAACTATACCATATTTGGTCGGGAAATAAACTGACCCCATTCACGCTGCAATGTTCTACCCACGACCTGCCCATGAAGATATACATATCATACCTCCAACTAGAGTCAGTGACACACCAGTCACAACAGAGGGCATCCAGGTATATGTCCCCCCAGCATACTATGACATTTATTGAAAAAATGTTTATGGGACAAATGCCCAAAAATAAATTGATATCGATATGTTACGACACACTAAAAATAGACATGACAGCACTGCTGCCAAACTACACAGCTGCTTGGTTATAACATACCACAGCCCTTATGGTATTCAGCCTTTCGAACACGCAAATCTCTTACCCACTGCACCTCTCACGTTGAACTGATTAGAAAGAATGACACGATGGTACCTAGTACCCACAAAGCTGGCCCGGATCTACCCCAACACACCCGACACATGTTGGAGGTGCGGTACAAATGGGGGTACTATGTCGCATATCTGGTGGGACTGTTCGGCTCTTTAGCCTTACTGGAATATGATAACTACTCTATTATTAGAGGTGTTGAACAGGCCAATACAAAAGTCAATTGAATTCTTTGTGTTGTTCACGTTCCCCGAGGGCCTCACACTTCAAATTCCTACGTGGACAAACCCTATGATATTCGCAGCAAACCCTCTGGACATTATTTCTCCTTGATGTGTCTCTCTCAACAATGCTGCTCTTTCCTGATTGGTTGTATACAGAAGCATTCACCAACTCAATTCCATGTACAGTGTATCATAGGGCTTAATTATATACAGCAAGGTGCTCAATGTAGGGGCAGCAATGGGTTGGGTGAATCAAGGTAGCACTTTGTGTCAATCTTTGAAATCCTTAATTCTCCCTGATGCTGAATTCAACACATGCAGTTCTCTTTGCAATTCAAAATGACAAGCAAGCATAAGATACGCTATGTTTTTGTTTATTTTTTTTTTGCAAAATGCTAATATTTTTCTGTATAAATACAGTAATAAGAAATTTAAATCATACTCTTACCCACAAAATGTGTGGATACAAAGGTCAGTTTTGGGTAAGTGGTAAACTATTTTCCTAACCTCGATGAAAAATAAGCATTTTCCCCCAGTTTAGCTTTGCTCCTCATACTGTCCTACCGTTGTTGATGTAACAAAAATAAGCTTCTCCGTATTTGGAACTGTCCATCGTTTGCCAGACTCTGTTAAGCATCTTAACTGTGTACACAGATTTCGTTTTTTTACATGGCATTTGTCACAACATGAATCACATAACCCTCCCTTTCCAATGATCTGCGCTTCTCACTATCTTCATAACAACATTTGCTGTGTAGGACTCTTTAATTCTTTCCATCCTTCTTAAGATCCAAACTGGCAGGAGTTGTTTGGACACAATACTCTTCTCCAGGCAAGTCTTCAAGCCCTTCAGATGAGCACAGAATTACTCAGCTTTGGCAGGGAACAGCATTGCAATTTGAAACTCATGAAGACTAAATTGGTTTTAAAACCTTCCAATAACAATTCTCATAAGAGTATTTATCGAATTAACTTTGCAGAGTTTAAACGCCCTGGTTTCCCCATTATTGAGTTATTAATTAATTGTAGCGAAGGGGCTTCAATGAATCCTTTTCTTTGGCTGAATGTATTTTAAGGAGATAACCTCCACACAAAAAAACCTTTTTATACAGATAAACTACTCTATAACATTTCCAAATTTGTAAGCATGTCTGCTTCCAAGACTCCTATATCATTTATCTTTAGACCATTTTTAAAAAAGAAAGTAAACTTGCCAGTGGTTTGATATGCTAATAAAATTCACATTATTTTATAATATGCAGAAATTGGTTCTCATATTGATATAATTATGTCAAAATTATGTTTTTTTTCACTTTGCCAAAATGTAATGGTAATTTCGCTATCAGACGCGTACAAGTATAGTAAATAGCTGAAAGTAATAATCTGCAAAATAGTAGAATGTTTCAGTAGATTATTGTAACTGTATTGTGTTTGTCCAGGTAAAAATTTAATTATTACATTCATTGTCATAATGTTAACATGGCCAGCCTACAAAGTAAAAAGATTTCTGTTTCCAAAAAAAAAAAAACTTTTATAGTAAATACGGCTTACATGGCACTGAACACATCCCGATACTTACTTGTGGACCTTTACAGAGAGGTTTGCTGGATAATCCCCATGTGAACCTTTCGTCCAGCCCATTTAGCAGTTAGAATGTCCACTATGAGGAAGAATGGATTGAAACTATATATTGTGTGTTCATAGTTCAGTGTGATATCATCACTCCATGTGGTCTGGGCCCTATTAACCTTATAGATTCTCTGTTATACTCAGCATTCCAAGTACTTCTATTAATAGGAGAAATACTGAAGAAAGTACTTATCATGGCTAAATAGGGCTGCATGTAAAGTTCATGAAGGGACAGGGACTCATCACTCACTGCATGAATAGGTCCAGTCAAACAGAGATCTGTTAGTTTAATAAGCAAAAAAAAATGCCTCCCATTTGTACTTGAATGTTGTATCCAATATAAAATCTGAATTAGTCATGTGAGCCTTAAATGGATTCTATAGTGTAAGGGATACAAATCTGTACACTATAGTTCCCTCTTATCTTCCCCTCACTTCCCACATAGACCCCCGCCGCAACATGCAAAGGGTTAAAAAAAACTTTTTGTACTCACCCAATTCCAGGTCCCGACACCCTCGGCGCCGCGTCGGCACTCCGCCTTCAATGACATCATTGTGAGCTTAAATGCTTCCCTCTGCCTGGGCCATTCTTAGTAGCCCCAAACTGTTAGATGAGCTGCTTGCAAAGTTGCAAACAGCTCTTTAAATAGGCAGTTAAAAGATTGCGGTGTGAGCACAGTGAAATCCATGCTCACGCCACTAACTCCATGTTTTTTTTCCCCAATTTATTTTTTTATTTTTATAATTTTATTCACACATTTGTTAAAGGAAAACCCTTAAATTATGGTAAAAAAACAAACAAACCTGTAACTCAAATTCAAGGTTTTGTTTTGGTTCAGAACATGGGCAATTGCCTCCGGCCTTAAGCAGTCAAAGGGCCATACTTGCTTTCTCCAGACAAGGCGCCTTGCAGTTCTCTCAAAACTCATTAGAACGCTTCAATACACTTGGGAAATGACCAGAGAATACAAAGATTACATTATATGTTGGGATTGTGTGCCACAGCATACTCCCAAAATCCTAAATCTCAAAATACCCAGGAGACACAGTAGTCATTATGGGAACGCATATACAGCCATTATTACTTTACCTCACATTTCCACAGTATTGGTATAACCTAAAATATCTCATTCAAAATGTTAGATTTTCTATTAATTTATTAGCAGTTTGGTAAAGACAGTACATATGTAAAATCGTATTTTTGCTTTAAAAGCCTTACACTAAGAACACCTGCATGTCAAGTGCTCTTTTACATACACTGCCTGGCCAAAAAAAAAGTCGCCACCAAAACAAAAAAGGTATCACACTCTAATATTTTGTTGGACCGCCTTTAGCTTTCATTACGGCACGCATTTGCTGTGGCATTGTTTCAATAAGCTTCTGCAATGTCACAAGATTTATTGCCATCCTGTGTTGCATATATTTTTCACCAAGATCTTGTATTGATGATGGGAGAATTGGACCACTGCACAAAGCCTTCTCCAGCACATCACAGAGATTCTCAATAAGGTTAAGGTCTGGACTCTGGTGGCCAAACCATGTGTGAAAATGATGTCTCATGCTCCCTGAACCACTCTTATTGATGGAATAACCTGGTCATTCAGTTAGACAGTCAGCTGACCTCATTCTTTGGGCACATAATGTTGCTGAACTTAGACTTGACCACCTGCAGCAACCCCAGATCATAGCACTGTCCCCACAGACTTATACAGTAGGCACTAGGCATGATGGGTGCATCACTTCATCTGCCTCTCTTATTACCCTGATGCGCCCATCACTTTGGAACAGGGTAAATCTGGACTCATCAGACCACATGACCTTCTTCCATTGCTCCAGAGTCCCATCTTTATCCTCCATAGCAAATTGAAGCCTTTTTTTTTTTCCGATTGGCCTCACTGATTAGTGGTTTTCTTAGGCTACACAGCTGTTCAGTCCCAATCCCTTGAGTTCCCTCCGCATAGTGTGTGTGGAAATGCTCTTACTTTCACTATTATTCTTATTATTATTGCCACTTATATAGCGCCAACAGATTCCGTAGCGCTTTACAATATTTTGAGAGGGGGGATGTAACAATAAATAGGACAATTACAAGAAAACTTACAGGAACAATAGGTTGAAGAGGACCCTGCTCAAACGAGCTTACAGACTATAGGAGGTGGGGTATTTGAAACATTAGGACAAGAAATACCAAGTAGGAGTGAAGCAGAGCTGGAGGAGAGAGCAAAGCACTGTCCCATAGGAGAGAGCAGGAGACAGGTATGTAAGGTAGAGATTACTCTGGGAGGCCATAAGCTTTCCTGAAGAGATGGGTTTTAAGGCCCTTCTTAAATGATTGAAGACTAGGGGAGAGTCTGATGGCAGTAGGCAAGCTATTCCATAGGAGAGGAGCCACCCGCGAGAGGTCCTGCAAGCGCGAGTTGGCCGTACGGGTGCGAGCAGCGGTCAGGAGGTGGTCACGGGCAGAGCGGAGGGTACGAGGAGGGGCATATCTATGGATTAGTGAAGAGATATAAGTGGGGCTAGAATTGTTCAGTGCTTTAAATGTATGGGTTAGCACTTTGAATTGACTCCTATAGCATACAGGGAGCCAATGTAAGGACTGGCAGAGGGGTGAGGTGTGAGAGGACCGACTAGAGAGGAAAATCAGTCTAGCTGCAGCATTCATTACAGACTGTAGTGGGGCAATACGGCTTTTGGGGAGACCAATCAGGAGAGGGTTACAGTAATCCATGCGGGAAATTACTAGAGCATGGACAAGCTCCTTGGTAGCATCTTGCGTAAGAAAGGGGCGAATGCGGGCTATGTTTTTGAGTTGGAGCCTACAGGACTTGGCAACAAACTGGATGTGAGACTCAAAGGTGAGACCAGAGTCAAGTATGACGCCAAGACAGCGCGCTTGCAGGGATGGACTTATGTGGATATCACTGCCTTGAAGGGAGAGCGAGAGAGGAGGATCAGTATTAGGAGGAGGAAAGACAAGGAGTTCAGTTTTAGAGAGGTTAAGTTTCAGAAAGCATTAGGACATCCAGTCAGAGATGGAAGAAAGGCAAGCAGTGACACGTTGCAGGACGGCAGGGGAGAGGTCCGGGGAGGAGAGGTATATCTGAGTGTCATCAGCGTACAGGTGGTAGTGGAATCCAAAAGAGGCAATAAGTTTACCAAGAGAGGCAGTATAAAGAGAAAATAGAAGGGGACCAAGGACAGACCCTTGGGGAACTCCAACCGAGACAGGACGAGGGGAGGAGGTGTCCTTGGAAAAGGAGACACTGAATGAGCGTTGGGAGAGATAGGAGGAAAACCAAGAGAGGACAGAGTCACAGAGACCGAGCGATTGAAGAGTTTGAAGGAGGAGAGCATGATCAACGGTGTCAAAGGCAGCAGAGAGGTCAAGGAGAATTAATATGGAGTAGTGACCTTTGGATTTAGCGGAGATTAGGTCATTAGTCACTTTGATAAGAGCAGTCTCAGTAGAGTGGAGAGGGCGGAAGCCAGACTGAAGAGGGTCAAGGAGAGAGTTGGAATTAAGGAAGCGGGACACACGGGTAAAGACAAGTCTTTCCAAAAGCTTTGATGAGAAAGGGAGCAGGGATATGGGACGATAGTTAGAAGGGGAGGATGGGTCAAGAGATGTTTTTTTCAGGATAGGTATTACAGTGGCATGTTTAAGGTCAGCAGGAACAGTGCCAGAAGAGAGAGAGCAGTTAAAGATGTGTGTTAGGGTAGGCACAAAACAAGGGGAGAGAGATCTGATGAGGTGAGATGGGACAGGATCGAGCGGGCAAGTGGTGGGGCGAGAGGAATGGAGAAGCGCAGCCACCTCTTGTTCAGTAGCTGGGTAGAAAGTCTGGAGGGTAGGGAAAGCAAGATTTACATGTGGTTGAGAAAGAGAACGGCAAGGAGGGGAGAATTGTTTCCTTAGCTGTTCAATCTTGTCGGTAAAGTAGCATGCAATGCTATCAGCTGTAAGGTTAGTTTGGGGGGTGGCCACAGCAGGGCGGAGAAGGGAATTAAAGGTGTCAAAGAGGTGTCTGGGATTGCGGGAGCATGAACTAATGAGAGAGGAAAAGTATGACTGTTTGGCGAGGGCGAGGGCTGCGCTGTATGAAAGCAACATGAATCTATAATGGAGAAAGTCTGCCTGGGTGCGGGACTTCCTCCAGGAGCGTTCAGCACAACGGGAGCAACTCTGCAGATAGCGTGTTGATTTATTATGCCAAGGTTGGGGTCGTGTCCTCCTCGAGGTGCATGTTTTGAGTGGGGCTGCAGCGTTCAAGGCAGATGTGAGGGTAGTGTTATATGTGGAGATGGCCAGTGAGGGACAGGAGAGGGAAGGGATGGATAGCAGTTGTGAATCAATGTCAGCTGACAGCTTCTGGAGGTCAATAGACTTAAGGTTCCTCCTGAGCTGAGGGGGGTTAGGCTGAGATTGTTGGTTGAGGGGGTAATTGAGAGCAAACGATAAGAGGTAATGATCAGAGAGAGGAAATGGGGTGTTGCAGATATTAGATATTGTACATGAATAAGAGAAAATAAGGTCGAGGGTATTGCCAGCTACATGAGTGGGAGAATTAGCCTACTGCAAAAGTCCAAGGGAGGAAGTGATTGAAAGTAGTTTAGAGGCTGCTGGGGTCAAAGGTGGGTTAATGGGAATATTGAAGTCTCCAAGAATTAGGGATGGGATGTTGGAAGAGAGGAAGTAGGGTAGCCAGGCAGCAAAGTGGTCAAGGAAGAGGAGAGGGGAACCAGGGGGACGATAGATTACGGCAATGTTAGCAGAGAAGGGTTTGAAAAGGCGAATTGAATGAATTTCAAATGATAGGAAAGAGAGGGAAGGGGGGGTGGACAGGGTTTTAAAGGTGCAGTGAGGTGAGAGAAGAAAACCTACACCGCCACCTTTAATCTCTGCTTGTCTTGGGTTGTGGGTAAAGTGAAGACCACCAAAAGACAGTGAGGCAGGTGTAGCAGTATCAGAGGGAGAGAGCCATGTTTCTGTTAGTGCAAGTAGGTTTAGGGAGTGTGAGATAAATAGGTCATGGATGGAAGTAGATTTAAAGTTGCTGCACACAGAGCGTGCATTCCAGAGGGCAGCTTTAAAAGAGGAATTATAGTGAGAATTACATGGAATGGGTATTAAACATAGCCCTGAGTTCTACTGTTGTTGTGTTTTACGATTTGATTTCACTAAACTTTTAAGTGATCGCCAATCACGATCAAACAGGATTTTTTTCCAACCACATTTCTTTCTTGAAGACGAGGGTTCCCCATTATCCTTCCAATTTTTGATAATGCGTTGGACCGTTCTTAACCCAATTTTAGTAGTTTCTGCAATCTTCTTAGATGTTTTCTCTGCTTGATGCATGCCAACGATTTGACCCTTCTCAAAAAGACTAACGTCTTTTCAACGACCACGGGATGTCTTTCGACATGGTTCTTTAACAAATTAGAAGCTACTCATTGCATCAGTTGGTGATAAATAACTTGTTGGCAGCTGAAAGATAATCGCCCATGCAGTAACTATCCAATAGGAGGCTCTTACCTATTTGCTTAGTTAAATCCAGGTGCCGACTTTTCTTTTGGCCAGGCAGTGTATATCCATTGTATTTTAACTGCAATAAAAAAAAAAAAAAAGATTGTATGCAGGAAGTTGTATAGAAAAATAATGGTGTGCAGCTTAAGTGTACATTTCCTTCCTTAAATAATGTTTAACTACTTTTGTCGGGTTGATGAAAGTCATGAAGACACATTGACATCTGCATAGTTAAACAATTTGAATGTAATACTATAGAACTTCAAATGTACTTGATATGATGGCATGCATGTGTTAGGATAATTACCCCATAAATCAGGCTTAACACTACCACTCTGTTTAGTGTTCTTGTTATTTCATTACAGTACATTGTATCAAACATTTATTGACTTGATTTCGAAGATTGTCTTTGCCATCTGAATGAACAGGACTCATAGGGTTCTAGGAGTATGAGCACTGATTATTACTGATTATTGAGTTTATGCATCCTAAATAAAATTACAGAATACTTTCTAATTAAAAATTAAACATACAAGACTTTCATAGTTGTTCTATCACTGCACTTTATTTGGTCAGTTTCAGAATGTTGTTAAGTAGTTGTACCGTATATACTCGAGTGTAAGCCAACCCGAATATAAGCCGAGGCCCCTAATTTTACCACAAAAAAACGGGAAAACTTATTGACTCGAGTATAAGACTAGGGTGGGAAATGCAGCAGCTACTGGTAAATTTCTAAATAAAAATAGATACCAATAAAATTACATTAATTGAATATTTATTTACAGTGTGTGTGTATAATGAATGAAGAGTGTGTGTGTGTTTGTGTGAATGCAGTGTGTGTGTATATAATGAATGCAGTGTGTGTGTGTATGATGCAGTGTGTGTTTGTGTGAATGCAGTCTGTGTGTATATGATGCAGAGTGTGTGTGTGTTTGTGTAGTGTGTGTATATGATGCAGAGTGTGTGTGTTTGTGTAGTGTGTGTAAACTGGGTGGGGGGAGGGCATTTTTATTTTAATATTGTAATTTTATTATTTTTATTATTTTAATATTGTTATTTTATTATTTTTATTATTTTAATATTTGTTTCTTTTTTTGTCCTCCCTCCCTGCTTGATACCTGGCCAGGGCTTGGGGGCTATCTTAATCCCTGGTGGTCCAGTGGATGGGCTGTGCAGTGTTGGGGGGCAGGAGCAAGCCGCGGTTCTCACGAGATTTACACTGTGAGCTGAATTACACTGTGAGCAGACCGCGAGATATACACTGTGAGCTGCTGCACAGGTAAGTAAGAGCTTGCTCCCAGCCTCCAACAGGACCGCCAGGCTTGTAATGAGCCCGGCGGTCCTGGTCTGTATTATGGCAAGGTAAGATGCCATCAGGGCCGGCCTTAGGTGTTCAGGCGCCCTGTGCGAAACAATCTTGTGGTGCCCCCCCCCTCACCTGTCTCTGTTTGGACCCCTTCAAACTATTTTAGGAGCATTCACAATCTGTTGCCTCCACCCCCTTCTACAAAACCACTGCACCTCTTAACCAAAATCCCTGGCCAGATCTTCACCAAGCCCCTGGCCACCACTTCATCAAACTCCTGGCCACCCCTTCCCCTTCATCAATGCCCTGGCCATCCCTTCGTCAAACTCCTAGCCACCCCTTACCCTTCATCAATCCCCTCCCACCCCTTTATCAATTCCTGCCACCCCTTCATCAGTCCCCTGCCCCTCTCATCAATTCCCTCCCACCCTTTACTCAGCCCTCTGCCCCTATTCATCAGCCGCCTGACCCCCTAATCAATCCCCTCCCACCCCTTTAACAGCCCTCTGCCCCATTCATCAGTCCCCTGACCCCCTCACCAATCCCCTCCCCCTTTTATCAGCCCCCTGACCCCCTCATCAGTACCCTCCCACCCCTATCACCCACCTGCCCCCCTTTAATCAGTCCCATGCCCCCCTTTTCAACCCCCTGCTCCCCTTCATCAGCCCCCTTAATACATCCCATGCCAAATAATCCAACCCCTGGCCACCCCTTCATCAGTCCCCTGCCCCCTCATCAATTCCCTCCCACCTATTTATCAGCCATCTGCCCCCATTTCATCAGCCCCCTGATCTCCTCATCAATCCCCTCCCACTCCTTTATCAACCACCTGCCCCCTTTAATCAGCCCCATGCCCCCCTTTTCAGTTTCCTGCCACCCTTTATCAGCCCCCTTAATAAATCCCCTGCCAATTAATGCAATCCATGCCACCCCTTCATCAATCCCCTGCCCCCCTTAATTAAATTCCTGCACCTCTTCAACAAAACCTATTTAATAAAAAAGAAAAAAAAAGTCACTCACAGTAAAGGCTGCTGCTCCCTGGACTGAGCTGTCTCCGCCGATTGAAGAGCACCGGGTGCCGCCTTCACTCACTAAATTGGATCCTTCCGCGGCTCCCTCTGATGACCGAGCACGTCGACGTTACGCAAGTACGCGGCATAACGCCCCCACCCTCCATACAGAAGTGGATTCCCGGCGGCGGCACTCTGCTCATAATTTGCAAGTCAAGTGCAAAGCAGTATTATGCACTTGACTTGCACTTTAAATACAGAACTCGGCCAGCCTGCGAGCTGTGTTGGCCGCCCGGCGCCCCTGTTGCCATGGCGCCCTGTGCGGCCGCACAGCTCGCACACCCCTAAGGCCGGCCCTGGATGCCATAATACAGACATTGACTCAAGTATAAGACGAAAAAGTGTGCTAAAAAACTCGGCTTATACTCGAGTATATACGGTATTTCTCCTTTTATACGCTGTTGGCAGTGGAGAAGTAATCAATAATCGTGAAATGGGGTTAACAGCGATAAAGCAGAAAACAAGAGGGTTACATATATGTAGGTATATATATATATATATATATTACTATAACTAGAACAAATTAATCATAATAATATTTTACTGAGGAAATACATTTCGGAAAGAAAGAAAAAGAACAAAAGATCGATCAACTTTTTTTAACCTTACATTTGAAATTAAAGGGACACTATAGTCACCAGAGCAACTACAGCTTAATGTAGTTGTTCTGGGGTCTATTGCCATAGTCCAAAGGCAGCAGGCGAGCAACCAGGCTTCTCCAATGCAATATGGCGAGATTGGTCTCGTCACATGCAATACCTTCCCAACGCTTTTTTATGGGAAAGCATTAGATTGGCTGGGATCATTCAATTCTGATGATGACAGTCAAGGAGTTGGAACAGGAGCAGGGCCAGCTGCAACGGACCCGTGTGGCGCTGAATTAAAGGCAAGTGTATTACCTTCTCAAAGAGTGCCAACGGGAGGCTGGTGCCTAAACTGTGTTTTTAACACTACAGTGACAGGAACAGGTTTGTCAGACTATGCTACAGTTAGCTATGCTACAGTTTGGCGAATAGTCAGCTAAGCTACAGTTTGGCTACTGCCCTTCAATTTGAAATTCACTTTAAATTCTCACTTTAGTAAATATCCCCCTGTATATTTCATTGCTTTATGTTGAAGAATGACATGAGAACTCCTAAACTGTTGTTTCTTGTTATCGCTATATTTCTGTTCTGTGCTAATAATTACTATATTTTCTGGACACATCTGCTTGGCTGTCTTACCATTTCCTTTCTACAGCAGAACTGAATACCGGGGTTGAGGGAAATAACCTCCTTTGGATTTTTTTTTTGGATGGATACATCCTGTTCTGGAGGCCACTGCCAATCACTATATTTTTTAAGTAGTGGCCTGATCTCTGCAATGAGAGATGCTTCCTTTGGAGAGTAAATACCTGGTTATTCACAAGTTTCTTTTGTTCTTTTTTATCTTCAGAGGAGCCATCTCTGTTATCACCTCCGCCTTGGTTTGAATAGGTCATAAATTTCTCCTCTCTCATAAAACACCAGATGCAATTTTTTCTCTTGTGTTTTGTTGTTTTTGCTGTAGCAGTAAGTGTTACGAAATGTGCGTCATCCCCAAGGTGCTCACTAATCTGTCAGTGCGGATTGTGAAGATCTTCCTAGCCGTCGACCTTTTACAAGTGGAAAGGAGGATTAGCAATGGGTCATCCCGAGAACAAAAAAAAAAAAAAACACTGCAAGAAAAGTAAAAGAACTTTAGGCAAGATAACAGTATTTACAAATGGAATATATTGCAGGATCCTGGTTCATGGCCACTTGAAGTTTTCAATACTTTGCATGTCACACTGGACTACCTGAAATATGTGGTCTAAAATAATTATTCTAATACCAGAAATCATTTAATAATTATGGAAATAAAATGTATATATTACATCTTCATATGTTGCAATTCAAAAATATATATATAAAATAATGCAAAGTATTTTTGGCCAACAATATATTATTTTTGGAGTCGTTGAAGGCCTTGTTATCAAAGTCCAAGTTGGGCTGAATATTCAGGCGAATGGATTGAAATACATAATATTTTCTGACTTTCTAGTTCCATTACATTTGAGAGGATCCCAAGAGACAAGGTGGGACTTAATGTGGTAGATTTATCTAAGTATTCTGAAAGTGTTTTTCTTTTTATTAAAGTGTTTTAAAAGAAGTCTGAAAAGTGCCACATTATGCTCTACTAAGAATACTGTGAACATATTTTGCTAGTATCCTGAAAAAAATGTAAAAAATAAAATATATATATATATATATATATATATTCTTATATATTTATATATATATAAATATATAGCTACACAAAAAAAATATTAATAACAAAAAGAAAAGCAGAAGGATGGAATTTTTGATAAATATTAACTTTTAGCACGGCCAAACGCAGTGCTTCAAACACCTTGTCTGCTG